GAGAGGGGATTATTCGAGTTACAGCGTGACCACCCCAGAAGGGGAGAACACTGGATACACCAGATCCTCGGTGATCCCCGGTGCTGGTGCTGGAGCAGGAGCTGCACTGGGCTCGCTCTGGTTCCGATTTGCCGCCGTCCCACAGCCCGTCGGGCTGGGCTATCGAAGCCCCCCCTCGCGGCCACCAGGGCTTCCTCGCTCTCCTTATCATTCCATCTTTATGAAGAGGCTTGTTAACAAGACCAGCGAGCTGGCCACGCACATCTATCTCTGCCGCTCGAGCTCAGCCAAGCAGCGGCCGGCGGGGGCGGGGTGGGGAGGGGACTGGCGAGGCACTAATTAATTGATTTCTTTGGACAGTAAAGTATGGCCGCATCTACATGGAACCTATCGACTCATAAACAATATCTCTGTTGGGTGTGAGTGTATTGTCTCTCAAAGAATTTTTCCATAGGCGTGTGTCATGTAGTCCAGGATTTTTAGCTGCTAAAGAAAGACCCAAGTGGGTTTCATTTTTAGGGGGCCAGATCGGAGTTAGCTCAGCTCCAGAAAATACTTTATGACTGCCTCTGAAAAAGCGTTGGGAATGGGTTTTGTTGAGAAAAACTTGGGTTATTGGATAACCTTTCCCAGTTGCTTGGTTAAGGTTAAGGATGGGAACTGGAGTCGAGGAGTTGGGCAGGCCGGAGTCCTCTTCCCGGTCGTCTGGGACGGAGTGGGGCTGCTCTCAGATTTGAGAGGAGCATAGAAGACAAGGTCCAGCCTTTACTTCATACTTCCCTGGACTTGAGTTTTTAAAGTAAATTTTAAAAAAGTTAAACAAACCTTAGCTTTCAAGAAGCCCTTGCATGCCCAGCACACAGCCGGAACCTACCTGTTACACACCTCACCTGGTTGCTGCTCTTCCTTCTTTCCCCCTTTCCTAACTGGCAGCTCAGAGTAACTATATTTATATTATATCTAGAAGAACACATCCTGAGACAGAAGGGGTAACGTAATTATACAATGCTAATTCCATACAGGAGTGGTTATGCAGTCAGACCCTGCCGCAAACAGGACCTAGGGCTCTAAATATAGACCCTGACCTCAGACAAGAGAAGCAACAGTTAAATAGAGATAGAAGACCACTCATATAAATAATCCACGTAGACACAGAAGGGGGTTTGTAAAAGACAGAAATAATAGAAATACAGAACAGAAAAGAGGTTCAGCTGATAGAGAATGTCATTGCCAATGCCTGAGCTTCCTCCTGCTACTGTTTTTAAGATTGCCAGAGAAATGTGTATTATAAATACAGTAATATGTGAAATCAAAGTATGTACTTCAATGTATTTGGTACTCATACACCATGTGTACAAACATAATTCACAGAATATATTTTTCATACACTGGGTTGATAGGCACTTTGTGTATATATAATAACATGATGTATATTTTTCATGCAGTGTTTTAATGTGGATATATTAATATCTGGATGCATTGTCCATGTACTGATTTTATATGCCCTTTGGAGTGTATACATCCATGGAGCTAAATAGATGTAGGACTGTACCTTCCCTGCGCAGGATGTGTGCAAGTGTACTGTTTAATCTATGTAAATGAATTTTTACATGTAATGGGTATACATGCTATATGTAATCTTTTCCCAGGAGGTTGTTTTCCCATACAATAGATAAGAGTGCCTCCATATGTATATTTTCTAGAGAAATATATTTTCCATGCCCAGAGTACATGTAATACAGATGGCTGTGCATTTTAGACTGTTTCAGTATATCGGTTATGTCGTCAGTATGGCCAAGCGTGCATTTTGTGGAACAGCTTTTCGATGCTCCGAATGTGGACTGTGCGTCTTTCACAGGGAGCTTTTCTAGCAACAACTGCCGGTGAGTTCCGCACAGACCGGTCGTTGAAGGAAGTTCTCCACTCCGCTTCAGGGAAACTGACAAACGGAAGGCTTATCTCGGAGTTCCCAGGAAGCGGCTCCGGCTCAGAGAGGAGAACTCACCCCCAGGCAACCGGCTGGGTCACAATGGCTAAAGGTCCGCTGCGTTTGGTCTCATCCAAGCCCAGTTCCTCGGCTCCGGTGCCAGGCTCCCTCGGGCGGCACAGCCTTTCGGAGCTTGGGGCAGAGCCGCCGGCGGTGACGAACCCGGCGGGAGGGCGGGCCGCCGCTGTGGGGACGCCGCGTGCCCAGCAGAGGGAGGGCACCTGGGAGAAAGGCCTGGTTCCCGCAGCCCGGCAGCGCCTCGGACTCGGGCTGTTCTTTGAGGTCACCCACAAACCCACGGAGCGTCCCCCCGCCCCCGGGCTGTGGCTCAGGGCCGAGCGGCTGGGCGGGTCCGGGTCTTCGCGGTCTCCGCGGATCTGGCCAGCAGGGGTCATCCGGTCCTTCGCGGGAGCCGGCGGCCCTCGCGCGGCGACCGGAACTGCCGGCTCTGTTCGGGCGGCGGGGCCGGGGCTGGGAGGCGCGCCGGGTTTCCTCTCCCCGGGACCCCGGGCACACCGGAGCCGGGGTCGGGCCAGGCGGGCGGGGAACTGGACTGAGGCCCCGGAACCCTGTCCGCCGGGCCGGGGCACGCAGCGCTCCGGGCGCGGGGAGGGGAGCGAACGGCCAGGCGCCCGCGTCGGCCACCAGCGGCCGGCGGGCCTTTGTCTCGGGGCCTCCCCTGAGCGGCGATCGCGAGCTCGGACCCCAGCTGCCGCGGTGCTGCGCGTCCGGTGGCGGAGGGCCCGGGACGCACGCTTCTCCGCGGAAAACCGGCAGCTCCGTCTCGACAGAGGCGGATACCGAAGGGCGGCCGCTCGAGCCTAACGCTCGGCTTATACGCGGCTGCGGGATCCCAGGCCTGCAGCCCACCTCGCGCTAAATTACACCGAGACCTTCGGCGCCTCCCTGTGCCTGCCGCGCAGAGAGGGTTGGGGGCTCCGGGGTGCGTTTCCCCCACGGGTCGGGGGCCTAAAAACCGCTCCTACTTTCCTGGTAATGGCGGGGAGGATGGGCGGGAGCTCCGGCCGGTCCGGAACCCAAGGTCCCGGGGGTTTGATTTTTCGAAGATCGGGGCCGGCGGTCCCTGCACCGCTCTGGGTCTGAGCCATCGATCGCGCCGGGTTTCCGGCTGCATTAGCATCCACAGAGCCCGGGCTGCCGGGCCCGTCTCCCGCCCGCTCGATAGTGGCTTTAAATACCCTAGCTGCGTGTACGCAGCTCAGACTGGAGTAGAACTGGGTGATAATCAGGACCAAATACACAACTCATTTGAATGGCATAAGCTTACACATACACAACAGTGAAATTATTTTTCTACCTGGATTATCCAGATAACTCTCTCCTTTTCTTGTTCCTCAAGACCCAGTTAGAGACACAGGGTGCCTTGTCTTAAATCAGTGGAGTAAATTGTAGTTTGAGGGCTTAAGCCAGACAAATACTTGCAAAATAGATGCAATCTTTGCCCAGATCCAGAGCTCAGCCAGGTCCTGGGTATTTGGGTTGTGGCTGCAGCCATGACCTTCTCTTTGGCCAGGAGACCCAAGGACTTGTTATTCAGCCGTTGGGAGGAGGTTATAGTGTTTTTCCTTCTCTGACAGCTTCCCCAGTTATTGAGTCTCAGGGCCTGCATAGACAAAACCCAACAAGGAACCTTCTCTCTCAGATCTGCAGTGTCTCTGGGAATAAACCAAGGGAATAAATTAAAGGCCAGTTATTCCTGACCTCTCTAAATTCCCTCTTTCCTATTTAGCCAGAAATGCCTTCACTGTTAACTCTCCCTGTATAGATGTGGCTTAAGAAGAGGGTAGTCTCTTGCCTGGATTCACTGGGATTCAGACCTCCCCCCACCTTTATTCAGACTCAAGGGTAGCCACTCAGTCCTTCCCCTACACCACCAGCTCAAGGCTGCCAGAAGCTATCCAGTCCCCAGCCTGCCCCGAACTCTGTGGGCCCTTTATAGGAGTACTCCTAAAGCTTGGGATCTCCTTCCTGCCCGAATCCTTCAGATGCACACTCAGCAGGGGACTGGGGCAAAGGGAGGATGGGATTTGGTCTAAATCTGCTACTTTTCCTAGTTGCAGGAGTAAAGAAAGGAGGCGAGAAAGAGAAAGAAAGATTCCAGGGCAGGAGGCGTGGCTCGGGAGGCTGGGCTCAGAGGGGGGCTCTTGTTATTCTGGAGCAGGCCCAGGAGGGTGGAGGGGGAATTTGGAGGAGACTTCGTGATTGGAGCCTGGCTGTGAGAAAGGGAAACTCGGGGATCAGAGGCTCACGGGTGGAGGCAGAGGGAGGGCATCCCATCCATAAGGAAGGAGTGGGGTGGAGGTGCAGAGGACTCCTGGGCTCAGCTGAGACTAGACTCTGGCCTGGACCTGGGCCTCTCTCTGTCACGGCCTGGAGGGGCCGCAGCTGACAGAGGCGGAGCCTATTTCACCAGCTTCAAGGGGTCTTTAGTACACTCTCCAGTCATCTTGCAGTGCACAAAATGTGCTCTCAGAGTGAAGCCACAGGGTTAGAACCATCAGGGTGAAGTGTGGACCCACCAACCCCTGCCCCTACCCCATAGCACTCTCACCATCCCAGCTCCAACCAGCTCTTGCCCCTACCCTGGCTTCACTTCTTGGAGATCTTGCAGCTCAGACTTCCTTTTTGTGGTGCTGAAGGTAGTTTCAGCCTCCTCCCGGGCTGTCCACATTATTTTTACAACCCCACGACTCCTCAGATATCCCTCTCCTCCCCGCTAATCTACCATCCCCCAATTTTCTCTCTGCTAGTAATTGCTTGGGACTGGAGATGGCAGCTCATCAACAGATCTTGGTTGCTGGTATATTTTTGTTGCCCCTGCAACCGCTCTTCCTTTATTATTATACGTTTATTATTTTTATTATTCACCTGGGCTGGAAAAAGTAAAGTGGGGGAACAGCTAGGAGGTTGGGGATCCCATTCTTTCTGGGCATAGGAGACCGTGTGTATGGAGCCAGTTTAAAATTTTTCTCTCAAAAAAATCACATCATCATACCATCATGTTTTAATTATTATTATTAATATTAATATGATGAAGCAACTCTGTACAAGGACTATATAAAGGGAAAACGTGCTAGAGACAGACGTTTGCATAGGAGGGCACACTACAGAGAACCGGGGAGGGAGGAAAGGAGGGCATCTACCCACAGGGATCACGCTAGGTACTAGCAACAGACACAGAGAACAGGACACAGATTGACAGAGAAGCTCACAGAAATCAAGTTTAAAGCGACAGGAAGAGAATATTGCATATCTTTGTCCCCCCACCCCGTTTGGAGTGTTTTGGTCTCCTTTATTAAGCTGCGAGAGTCAGGCTGGAGTGCTGAAACTCAAATCCAGCACCCCAGAGACCAAGAGGTCACAGGAGGGGCTGTATGAAGGGGTACATGGGTGACCAGGCAAAGAGGGGAGTGCCTCATACCCAGCGCCAGCCCACAGGGGAGTGTGCAGACAGCTGGAACGGTGGTGATTTCTGCAAACGTGTACATAGGTTAATGTGGGTGGGGAAGTGTGTCAGGTGCCCAGTGGGGGATGAGGGTATGTGATTGTACGGCTACTCTGCAGGGCTGTATTTGGGGATATGAGGCTGCCTCTTTGCAAGTACAGTCAGGAGAGTGGTGTGGGCCAAGTGCTGTACTGGGCAGCTGTGCCTATATGTTTGCCCATGCCTCTGCACAGTCTTTCACAGGGACTTGAATCTGGTGGGAGAGTGGATTGCCTTTCCAGGGTGTGGAAGGAGAGACTTTCCCCAGGTGGGAAGAACTCCAAGCTGGCGGGCCAGTTTCACACTGTCCAGGCTGGGCTTAACTCCCATCATTCCCCTGCTTCTCGCCCTCTTGATCCTGGCAAGGGTGGGTCAGCAGGTGGGAGGTTGGGGGACTCTCACCAAGGGGAATCAAAACAGAGTGCAAGAAGGCAGGGGGGCTCCTTCACAGCTTCTCTTTCGGAAGCCAGCCTGGGATCTACTGGGCTGGGGCTGGGGCCTGAAGGGGGCTATGAATAAAAGGCCCTCGGCTGGAGAAGCCACTTTCTGGCCTCCAGTGGGTTTTGGGGATGTGCCCTTCCCTCTGCTCTGGTCCTCCTAATCTGCGGCTCCCTGGCCTGGGGGCGGAGACAGCGGATCCTGAGACAAAGGGCGCCGTTGGGGAGCAGGTGGAGTAGGGGTGGGTAAAAGAGAGAAAGGAGTTGGGTGGGGGGCTGCAGTGCCCCCTCCTTCATTGTCACCAGCCTGGGAAACCCGGGCTGAGCGGGGGCCTCCGCGGCCGGTAGCCCCTTTTAGGGGCGGATTCTCTTCCCGCCTCGTAAATTACGCCGGTCCAGCCTCCGGCCGGCCGTGACCGTGAACGCCAGCGGCGAAGGGAGAATCTGCAGCGGCTGCCAGAAACTCTCTCGGCCAATCAATGCCGCGCTTCGCAGCTCCTTTTACAGCTTCCTGGGCTTCCCGGAGGGCCAGGTGGAGGTCCCTGGGGTGGCTACTGAACCCGAGGCTGCGTCCGCTCAGCTCTCAATTCCCCGCTTGCGGCTTCCGGTCCGCAGCCGCCTCAGCGGCAGGAAGAGTGGATGGCAGCACACCTGTGAGCGAATGGGCGCAGGGGGCTCGGGAGAGGGCTGGGGACCAGGAGACGGTTCGGGTGGCCTGCCCTAGAGGGGACAAAAGCCTGATCATCACCTTGTCCACAGCCGGGTCTGCCAAATGCTTATGCCTGGGCCTGCTCTGTGTCCAGGCCTGGAGGACCCAGACCCCAGCGGACCTGGACATTGCTGATCATTCTGTTCTCCCAAACCACACTTCCTCCTAGGTCCCCCCACTTCCTTCTGCCCTCCCAGAGCTACCCTGACCCCTTCCCTGCTCTCTGCCCATCCTCCACTCTTGCTCCCTCCTCGCAGCCTCTCCTAACCCCAATAACTGCAAGTTCTGAGAGCCTTAGTCCCACTGTCCCCACCCTCGCCTACTCCTGCAGGCAGACAGACCTAAGACCACGGAAGGAAAGTGGTGGGAGGGGACGCCTGAGTCACCTTTCCTCCAGATCTTCAGACGGAGGCCCAACGCCCCGGTCCCATGTCAAACTAGCCCCTCCCCAGCGCCTCAGCCTTCCCTGCCCCTACCCCCTGCCTGCAGCTGTGGGCTTCCTCTCCCTGGCTGGGTTCTTCCCTTCTCTCTGGGACCTGGCAGGGTCTGCTGGGGGGTGTGTGGGAGGGAACCACGAACAAAACAGACAAGAGGACGTCCCAGGAGGACCTGCCAGAGACGCCTGGCGTTCTAAGCGGGGACTGTGTCCCAGGCAGTGCCCCCTCTTTGCTCTCTGCCAGAGACAGGCTCAGTCTGGGGCTGGCGCCCGTGTCTTGCCCCCTAAAAGAAGGAGAGAGCTTGCTCCCTCAACAGAAGTCTTTTCTTTTTCATTCTGCGGTTCTGAAACCAGATCTTGACCTGCTGGTCACTAAGATTCAAGCGGTCTGAGAGTTCCCTCCGGCGCTGCCTTGTGATGAACTCGTTCACCAGAAACTCGCCCTCCAGCTCCGCCAGCTGCAACTTCGAATAGGGTTTGCGCTTCTTCCGTGAGCGGCTGTGGATCGGGTACCAGGGCGCGCCTGGGTGGAGACGAACCAGCAGGGTTGGCCAGGGGACCAAGAGGTGACAAGCCCAGTACCGTCGGTCCTTCCCCAGCCCCTTTCACCTTGGCCTAACACCCGACCCCAGGCTCTTCCTCTCCTCTCTTAGGAAGACTCCCATCCCCTCCAACTCCTCTGCCTCCATCAATCTCTTTTTCCCCTTTCACTCTTTCTCCTTGCCTCCCCTACTTCTCACTGCAGTATCCCAGAACCTTCCAAATTCCTATCCTCTCACTTCTCCCCAAACCTCTTCTTCTCCAGGATATCCTGGCCCCTTCCTCTCACATCCTCCAGGATGGGGTCCTGATTAGTTAGAACAGACATGAGCGAGTGACAAGAGACAACCACTGGCCTTTCTTTAAAAAAAAAAAAAAAGTAGGTAATGGGGGCCTGTGGGAAGGTGGAAAGAGAGGCCCTGGGAGGGCAGGGACCAGCCTCTGGGTCCCCACCCCCCAAGGCCTGGGGAAGTGTGTCAGAATCCCCTCTCTCCGGAGCTCCCTGCCCCCTCCAGCTGCAGGCCGAGGAAAAAGGGAATCTCTAGTTCTTTTACGGGGATATTTACATGTTTATAGGGCTTGTCCCCCCCAACTCCCTTTTTTAAAAGAAGCGCTTCCTCACCACACAGTCCGTCACCCCAGGAGGCCCTAGCTCAGTCCTACACTGCCCACCACCCCCCCCCGCCCCGCCCCGGGTCAGACGTCCCGTCCGGAGTAACCTCGCGAATGGGCCGGGGTCCTTACCGCTGGCCGCGAGGCCGCCGCCGGGGTTTAAAGGCGATACCAAGCTGCCGGGGTCGCCCGCGCCGGCGCCCTTGTTGCCCTCGTTAAGCAGGGACGAACTGGAGTCGGATTCCAGCGACTGGCACGAGGGCGGGTCGTGCGGGGGTCCCGCGCCACCCTCGCCGCCTGCCGCGTAGTCGTACTTGAAACCGAGAGCAGGCGGCCCCGACGGCTCCAGCTGCAGCAGCGCTGCCCCGGGCCCGACTCCTGGGCCGGGGTCGCGCCCGCGCTCCTCACGCTTCAGGCCCCCGCCGCCGCCCTCGGCGCACGGCTCGCGGTAATAACCCTTGCTGTCCTCCACGCGCGCCAGCTCGCACGTGCGGCCGAAGGGCGGGTTGAGCGACACCGGGCTGCCGAGATAGGGCTGCGGATAGCCATTGCACGGCTCCGCCGACGGCCAGGGCAGCGAGCACACGTTGTCGCGGCGCGGGTAGGACAGCGAAGGCAGCCCGGGCAGCTGCGCCCCGGACGCACGGAAGTTGGGGAAGTAGAAGGTGTCTCCCGTGTGGATGTTCACCAGCGGCCCCACAAACCCGGGATTCAGGAGATTATGCTCGCCCATTTCCGCGGGGCCCGACCGGCAGCTTCTACTTTATTGCTATCTGACATTAAACATAGTTAAACCTGCACCGGCCACCCATTGGCCGTCCAGCTCACGTGGGCGCCGCCGCCAGGGGGATGGGTGGGGACAGAGAATCCCCCCACCCCGCACCAACTCCAACTTCCCCCTTCCCCAATGTGGGGGGGGAGGGAACGAACCGCGGGGGCAGATTTATTCTCTGGCTTCTGGTTTTTAAAAAATCATATAAAACCTAACGCAGAGATCGAGGCAATCGCCCGACACGGGGCAAGAGGGAAAAAGCCACACCAAAAATACCCGCACATACACGCTTCTGCACCCTGCACTACCCCCCCAGATGTATTATCTTCTCACCAACAGCTGGCCGAGCCCAGCCCGTCCCTCTTTAATTAGCTCCTTTATTAACTAAAACCGTTGGAATTTACAATATCTCCCCAATAAATTACTATTAGATATTGTGTCATATAAAGTTTACTGGCTGTTTAAGGAGACGGATGAGCCCTTTGGCTCGGGGTTTATTTACAGTAGAGGAGAAGTGGGGGTAAAGACAGGTTTCCCTGCCGCTGTCTCTCCCAGCCCTGCCGCTGCTGTGCTCCTTTTCCTCAGCTCTTTCTCCCCAGGAATTTAGGGAGACACCTGGGGTCCTCTCCTCCAGGAAGGGCTCAGGGAGGATTACTAATGCTGGGTCTTCCCCATTCTCCAGCTGGGAGCCACCCAGCCACACACCTTCACTCACCGTCAGAGGAGGGATGCAGAAGAGAGGCAGAAGCAGCAGAAAAAGGAAGCGCCCAGCTCCATGAGGACTTGCCTGCCTGCTCCTGAAAATCTGGGGGCTGAACTACTCTTCCCCATGACTTCTGTGGGTCAGGGGGGCTTCTGGGGGCGTCTCTTGGAGACTTTGCAGCAAGAGGCTCTGGGCTCCCAGCAGGGCTTGGCTGGCCCAAGAGGCTCCTGATTCCCACTGTGGAGGAGACACTCACACCCCAGAACCAGCCTAGCATACCACTGGGACCATCAGATAACTGTGCCCAGCCCAATAGGTGTGCTGGGACTAAGGGAAAGAATGCCAGAGAATTATCTTGTTAGGGGTTTAAAATTATTTTTATAGTGCTAACCTCAGTAGCTCCTTCCACAGAAGGCTGAGAACCCAACGCTGGCCATAGGCGAAATTAATCGACATCTGGAAACCACAATCTGGTCTCAACCAAGTCCACAGACACAGCCAAACAGATTAAAATGAAAAAGGAAACAAACCCTCAAAACTAGGTGTATTCTATTGGAGTCCAGTAGACACAATACTCAGATTTCTATGCGATTACTTCGGGCTCCAGCAAAAGCATGGCTTTAAGTAATACCAGGTGAGATCAATAGTTCAGCAAAAGTCTAAATATGACAGAACACCAGAAGATTTGGAGAAAATGAGGGAGACGTGAGTCTGAGAGAATCTGGGAGAAAGAAATCCATGTGGGTGAAAGTTAAATATCTGAGAACGAGCGGAAGCTACAAAAGCAGAGCGAAGCCGAAGATTCTCATCTCCCTCTTTTTCTCTCTTCTGCAGGACATGGCAGAGAGAAACGCAGATTCTTCGAATTCCACAGCTCCCTGGGCGATTTCATATCCCAAACCATAGCTGGGACAGAAATGTGTCCGCGCGGGCTTCGCCCAGCCCGGCACAGCTCGCAGCTCGGCACCCGCCCCTCGCCCCTCTTCCCCTTCCCTGCCCTGGCCGGCCAAGGCCCCCCCCCCCCCCCCCCCCCAGGAGCCCGCCCCGCGCCGGGCCCACTTGCCAGAACCGAAGCCAAGCGGTGGGATCCCAGCCCCGGCGCAGTCACTTTCAGTCAGAACCACGAGAGCCGGGGCGCCGAGGAGCGGGCAGGAGAGAGCCTGAATTGGCCTTTTCGTGCTTAATTGATTAAGGGGCTGCGCGGCTGCACAGAGCATCCCTCGGCTGCAAAATCCACGTCACAGCATCTCCAACATCTTATTTATGCCTCTTTTCAAGATGCATTAATGAGCGTTACTGAATATTTAATTTTAAAATTTTATTTGGGGGTTATTTTTGGTCATAAAGATAAACAGGGTGTGACTTTAATATCGTTGCTGTTTTCAATCAGAACGTTGCACCGGCGGCGAGGTCTCCAGGCCTCCAGGCCTCGCGCTCAGCCGCTATTGTTGGTGTGGGGGAGGCCGAGTTGAGCTTAGCGAGATAATCGCTAGTCCTTGTGCGGTGGAGGTTTCTCCCCATTCTCTTTTTCCCCTCCCAGATGACTCCAATCTCCTAGAAGGGAGACGCCAGGAGGAAGGTCTTAGCCTTTTCGCATCCCTCGCCAGCTCGAAAATCTCAGGCCCGGAGCTGTGCTCGCTGCCCTCCCGGCCAGGCCGCTGAGCACGCAGAGAGGCGGCCACAGGGCGGCAGATGCAATGCCGGGGAAATGAGGATGGAGTGAGGACTTCCTTCTTCCAGACACGCAGTTTCTCCCGGTCCGATTTGGCCCCATCAAAAAAGACCAGTTTCCCCACGTTTCGGACCCTGGGCACTGGCACACGCACAAACCCCTCTTCCTTCCCCCTCTTCCTTCCGTGCAGCCGACCTGATTCCTCTAGGGGAGAGCTGCCGAGGCCCATCAGCAAAATTCACATCCCCAGTGCCCTGCCACTCGAGGATCACTAGGAACCTAGGGGTTATCAGGACCCCGGCGAGGACCCAGGCAATCTAGGCGCCCAGCCTCCTCGTGTACCACCGCGGTTCTGTGCGCCTTTAAGGCTCCCCGCCGCACACGCAGCTCAGGCGCCCCTTTCTTAACCCTACTCGGACTAACTGGCTGCAGAGCTCCGCTCCCAGCCTGGGTCCCCAGGACCGGCGGGAGGCTCGGGTGCAAAGCTTCAGACCTAAATCCAGCCTCGGCGAGAGCTGCTCTCCAGGAGCCGACGGGAGACTTGGTGAGGAGAATGCTTAGGACTCGCAGCAGCCGAAGGCGCTGGGCAGCGGCTTCTAGCTGGGTTCAATCCGCCGGCACTTCGCAGCTCACATGGAAAACTGTACTGGCCTGGCAAGGCTCTGGACCCGCGGAGCAATCTCTGCGCCCGCTCTTCCGCACATTCATCAAATCACGAGATTAGAAGAGGTGGACTGCCTGCTGGACCCTGGACCACAGGTTCCTGATGCAGCTGGCCTGGCTCAACCATGGCCCGCTCATTAACTCAGGGGTTAACTAAAACTGAAGGCCAGGATGTGGTCCAAGGCTTTCCTTGAAGACCCGCGGCAGCCCTCTTGCTTCCTCGCATCCACCAGCTGGATGCGCCGCCGCCTCTCCCGCACCGACTCTGTCTAAGCCTCCGTCCCTCCTGCATCTTCACGGGCTATGCGCTGGTCCTCGAGTCCCCACCGCCGCCGAGCCAGGCGAAAGGAGTTATTATAAAATCTACGGCCGGCTCTGGTGGCAGGGGCAGAGCAGCTGCAGGAGGCTTAGGCCACCGCGGAGTGGCTGTGAGCCGCAGTGTTCGGGCTCCCCAGGCAAACCGAGGTCGAAATTATACCGCGCGGTGCTGCCTTCTCCCGCAACAGTCGAGAGGCCAAGGCGGCCCAGTTCAAGGTCACTGCCTAGTTTGCACAAAACGGTTCTGCCGCCTATGCACATGAGGCAGGGCCTGGGTCTCTGAAGGGAGGTGAGCAGGAGCTGGGCTGGGCGGGAGAGGCGAGACGGAAAGCGGCGGGTGGGGAAGGTCTGGGCCCCAGACCGACCCCTCGGCTCTCTATGTGTCACCCCTTTAGGGCATCTTAGGCTTGGGGCAGGATTTTGTCGGGGTCAACCAAGGCTGACGGGTGGAGGTAGGGGCTCAGACTCCTCGTTCTTCGCTTCACCAGCTCATCCAGGGGTCCGAGCCCACCTGGCTCCCAGGCCTCCTTACGGGTGCCTAGGACTTAAGGAGAAGGTGAGGAGGCCCCTTCCCCCGTGCTGCCTTCCAGGGCTCTGCAGCCTGGAGGAGCGGGGTGTGAGAGGGACCTTGGGTGAGGGGGCCCAGTCAGGCTCTCAGGCTCACACAAGCAGCCTGGGGTCAACAGCGTCCTAACCTCCTCCAAGCATTCAGTGGTTCCACTTGTCCCCCTCCCACCACAAGATCCCAGCCCGATTGCTACTCAGGAAATGGGGAAGGGATAGGGGTGGTCCCAGGCAGGAACATCTGGGAGACCATCCCTCCACCCCTCACCTGAGCATCCCTAAGTGAGCCATCTTCCCCCATTTTCACTGTCCTTTCGGCGCACTAATAGTTAAATAATTTCGGGGTTCTGACATTTTCCCCCTCGCCAGCAGAGGATCTCTTCCACCTAGTGAATTACTGAGTATCAGGAAAGGTGTGGGGACCAAGTTATTTAAAAAAAAAAAAAAAAAGCACCTTCTCCACAAACACCACACCTACAGTCGCCAGCAAAGTATGGGGAGCCCAGGGCCTGGTCTCCGTGGACCTCGAAGCTCAGTATGGGGTGAGGACTACCCAGAGTGCCCTCTGCCCCACAGCCAGCCGCTCCCTGTGACCATGGCCTCTGACCAGGCCTAGCTCTGGGGAGGGGCTGAGTTCTGCCCGGGGTCTGATCTGCCCAGCTACCCAACTGCTACCCAAATCCAAGCCTCCAGTTCGGGGCGGGGGCGGGTGTGGCGCTGGGCAGGGGCGGATCGGGGTAAGGGCAACGGGCCCGGGAGGCTGGTGGGGGTAGGAGGATGCGCTATCCCCAAGGCTGGCTGGGCTGGAAGAGCGGGGGTCCACTTACCTTTGGAGACGGAAGAGGTTCAGAAGGGTGCGGGGCGGGGGTTCTCGGCCTCTAGAAACCCTCTGGGTGCCCCCTCCCAAGGCGGCCCGCAAGCCCAGCCGAGGTATCTGAGGAGGGCGGGGCGGAGGAGGCGGAGGCTGCGGCCAGCGGTAGGCGCGCGGGAGCCGAGTTGCAGAGCATCTCTGGAGAGGCCGCCTTTTATGGGCGTTATTAGCGCCCCTGTCTAGACTGGAGACGACACCTCTGTGTGTAAACAGAGGCGGCGGGCTCTGGCGGGAAGGGGGATGGCGCGTCAAGGGGGCGAGTGGCCCTCCCCTTCTCTGGCCACCGGAAGATCAAGGCCTTTTCCACCCTCCCCCCTTCCCTGTGCTCCCTGTGATGTCAAGGTCAGAAAGACCTAGTCACGGTCAAGGCTAAAAGAGGAAGAGCCTGGTTGGTTGCGAAAAGGCTCTGGCCCCCTCCTCCTCCCAGAAGCCCCTGGCTCCCCAGGGCCCCTCAATCCTCCACCAGCGCGGGTCTAGATACACATCTGCCTGATCCGGCACTTGGAGTTTTTGAGGAGTGGGCTCCTGACACCATCCAAGTCAGACCCAGGTGGATCCTAGGGTGGGGAGTTCTCTTCTGAACAGAGGGGGCTGCTGCAGGGTCCCCAGCTTCAATCCTCTGGTAGATGGAGAGTGTCCCAGGGGCTGCCCCCGCCTTATACCCACACGGGGCCTGCTGACCGAGCCGTCTGTCGAAAAGCCTCAGGAGCAGATGGTCTGGAGACAGTCCTGGAGGGATCTCCCGAGAACTGCTGGCCTTGCTCCCTCAGGTGGGTTCCTGGCTGTGGGACTGACTACCGGCCAAAAGGCCCATTCTGCTGGCCCTAGGTCTGAGGACTAAGATGTGGGTGGGGAAGGGGTTTTCTCCCCAAGCTCAGGAAAATATCTAACCGAGCCCTCCCTGGCAGCCTGGTATAGAGCCCTCCAGACCGAGAGTCCTGTGAGGCTCCAGCTCACCCGGGTCCCCCCAGCCTTTGCCACGGGGAACCACAAGGAGCCGGGGATGTCATCGGATTATGAGAAAGATAGCAGGAACCTCAGTCCCAGAGAAGAGCTGTCCATTTCCCGGGGATGCCTCTATACTCACAATCCTTCAGACATTTTCTATCCCCTTGCCCCCGCATATTTATTGCATCCTCACTCTCACACAGACACTAGAGGACTGGCCTTGGAAAGAAAGGCTTTCTATAGATTTGCATAAAGAAAAGAAAACACACTCTACGCCCTGAGATCAGTGCCGGCTGACAACATTGCTACACGTGCACACACACAGGCAGAAAAGGCTGAGGAAATTCTGCACTGGTCAGAGGCTCTACACACACACATACACACAAACACACGTATACACACACCTTCACAGGAATGTCTCACAGAGTTCCCCAATGAGAATGCCAGCTCTCAGAGGAAGGAAAGGTAAGGAACCAACACAATCAGGGAGAGAATCATGCTTTTTCCCAACTCTGGGAAGTGTGTGTCCCCAGAAAGCATACTCACACAATACCTGTCTCACCTAGGAGTTTCCATTCTCGTGCTTACTTTTATGGAAGAGGCATCTCCAAAACTGATCCAGGAACATTTGATCCAGTGCATGGGAGGCATCTTAAACACCCTGCGGCACACTGGGGCTCACAGGGACTCAGAGGGACCGCAGTGCTTGCTTGGGTCACTGGTGTCCCAGTGCAACCCCAGTGAGCCCGCGCAAGCTTTCTTCTCTTTTCCATCGCCCCCTTCTGGGGCCTTAGGGCGTATCCCTCTGTGGGAAGACTCGCTCATTTGCCCTCATGTGGATTTGTGTGCAGAAGTGGAAGGATGCCTCGGAGAACTATAGAATTCTCTTTCCCCACTGAGTCTCCAGCTTCCACTGACTCTACAGCTGTGTCATGGGACTACCCAATGTACCCCCAAGTCAAGAGGGGTGGGGGTATCAAGGGAGCCCCGGGTCTCTTGTCTACTCAGTTCCTTTTTCTGACCAAACACACACATTTAATTTTCAATTCTTCCCATCTCAGGAGAGACTCAGGGGTTTTGGAGAGAGGTTAAGGTGGTGAGTGGGGAGAGAAAGGAGAGATGGAATTAAGAATGAACATTATTCCTGGGAGATTCATCTATTCCCTCCTAGATTTGTACTGCCCAGCGAGGGATTCTTTGGTGGTTAACCCAGAGTTGAAATGGAGTAGAAAAGGACTGGCAGCAGTATCAGTAGCGGAGCCTCCACAGAGGGTGAATTCCTCAGGCTCTTTGTCTCTCAGATTCGGGGTGTGTGTGTGTGTGTGTGTGTGTGTGTGTGTGTGTGCCACACACACCCCTGAAACATTTATTTAAATAAAATTTTAAGAACGTCAGCCATCAGGCAAAGTGAGATCAGAGAACTCTGATTTCCAACCCAATGCTTCCAGTCTTTCTGTGTCTCAGGAACGGAAAAAATATTATATATAAATAAAAATGGCTGCAGTAAAGATTTAATCTGAGATAACATTGTTTTAGGCTATATCGCTTTTTAAAAGTCTCTTAACCTGACAACTTAACGATCTCATTAACTCAGCCAGATAGGGAGATAGGCACAGACGGACGCGGCAGGGAAAACAAATTAGTGGCAGAGTCTACAGGGCTCCTGATTGCCTGGAAGACTGGGGTTCCCGAGAATGCTGGAGAATACACGTGAGATTGGCTTAGAGGACTGGGGGCCCGTGGGGTCCTAGCAGCCCGGCCTCTTGCATAGGTTGGTGGAGAGGAAAAGGGAGCAGCTTGGGAATACGGAGCTTGCGGCGGCCTCCCAGCAGGGCAGACTGAGGGGACCCCTTCCCAGCTCTAGCTCTGAACTGTCTGGAGGGATTTGGGACCCTCTGGGGGCAGTAGAGCCTCAGGAGCAAGATTAGCTCCCCACTGCCGCCACGCTGCCACCACCACAGCATCCAGTCGCCAGCTGGGACACCACTTTCTCAGCACAGAGATCCAGCTCTGAGCTCTATTAACTGAAGTGAACCCACTCACTTGCTCCCAGGCCTTTTCCGTCGCTGATCACATCCTTCTCTCCCAAGCCTACTCATCTATTTGGGGCATCAGGATGGGAAAGAGTTTTCTTCTGTCTAGATCGTATCAACAATCTGAAAACCTCACTTAAAAAACTTACGTGGAGCAGAATATAAATTTGGGATCTATCCAGCTGGGGGTGTTCTCTCTACTCTTCCCCCTGCCCATTCTGGCTGAGTCAGGGCAATAGAGCCTACCCCAAGAACCAGTGGATAGAAGGAGTTTCAGAAGGAATCTGAGCGATAAAATCAAGGCAAAAAAAAAAAAGATTTTATTTTAAAAACAGGTTTGTGGTATTTTTTTCCTTTTTGCATTCAGTACATTGTCATTCAGACATCACAATACTATATACAGATACACAACATTTTTTAAAAGCCTGTTTTGGATGAACATTTCAAAAGAACACGCTTTTGTAATGCACCAGTGGGAAGGGAGAAGGTGAGCCCCCATCCCCCAGCACCAAGTTGGCCTTTGAGGAGGGAAATGTCAGGCAGCGTCTGCGTTAGCTGGCTAACTGGGAGCCAGCTATCTTGGCCTCCTGGAAGAAAAACTGCTGTCCTCAGGACAATGAGTAAAAGCGAAAATGTGAGGCCTTCTCAGCTACCGCCTTGACGGAGAAGCAACTGGAGAGGGAATCTGCCGGGGGACCCGCTCTCCATCCCCTTGGAAGAGAAGCTTGTCCGTTCCCTAGCAAAAAGTTCTGCTCCTGTGCATGGCCTGACCCTCAGTCTCGCCACAGAGAGAGAAGGAGAGAAGACAGATTTAGCAGCATGGTGGGAGTTTCTGTCTTCTCTGGATTTCTGCATGTTGATTGAGAAGCAGAACAGAGGAGGCCATGGGGGCAAAGGTGGCTCCTCAGAAACTCAGTTCCTTGGTCCAGGTGGGGGAGAAGGGTAGGTGTTTCCTCATCCAATTCCAGCTTTTGTTGAAACAGGAAAGAAAAAACCTAAGCGCTGTCTGTACTCCAATCACGATGCCAGGTCCCTAATACTTATCATTAATATTAATGTGACTTTTAAAATATGCACAGAAACATCTTAACTGGGAAATCTTGCCTAACTAAAGAGTGCCAGAGGGACAGGGAACGGGAGGAAGGACTGGACGGAAAGTAGGAGCTCGCCAGGTCCTGCTCGGGGTCGCACCCTTAGGGGGGTCATCTACCTGCCCGGGCAAAGGATGAGGCAAAAATGGGGTCATTCGGGGTTCCCCAGCTCTGCTTTGGCTGGAATGACCGGGCTCTTGGCTGCCACTCGGCGCTCCGGCAAGGCGAGGGGCAACGGCCAGAGGGAGTGGAGGCAGGCTGCCTTCCTCCCACGCCCGCCCGGACCCACCTCCAAAGCCGCTGAGGCGGGGTAGATGCCGTCTGCGTAGGGGTGAGGGTTGAGGATGGGGTGGGGAGTAGAGGGCGGCAGAGCACACCCTTTGATACCCTCTGCCTCCCAGCGGAGTGGTTCCTCCTTCTGGTTAACATTAAATATTTGTCTGTACCCGAAAAGCGTCCTTTGGTGTGTTCGGATATGGTACAAATCGGCGACATAAATAGACGGGGCGGGCAGCTGGGTGCGCGGTCAGGTAGAGTGAAGATGGGGCGCTTTTGATTTGCTGACCACCTTCTTCTCTTTGACCCGCCGGTTCTGGAACCAGATGGTGACCTGGCGCTCCGAGAGGTTCGTGGTAGCCGAGATGCGCCGGCGCTTCTCTTTGGTGATGAACTTGCTGGCCGCATACTCCTTCTCTAGCTCCTTCAGCTGCCCCTTGGTGTAGGGCACGCGTTTCTTGCGCCCGCGGCGGTAGCTGTTGACCTCGGGCTGTAGGGGGACCACGTCTGGGGGGAGAGAGAAGGCAGGCGGCAGGAAGTGAGTGGCATGGATGGACCCAGGACCCTGCGAGGGGCCTCAAGTCCGCGCGGCTGCGGAGGCGCAGGTTCCGGCAGGGACTCAAAGGGAGCTGACGGATTGTCCCCAAATCTTTTGCACCTCTGTTATTAGCAAGGCCTCGACTTAGGTGAGGACCCTGGGGTATTGCCTCTGGTGCAAACTTTAAAGGAGGGGGCGCCCAAACTCAGTAACCAAGATGAATGATATTTTAATGCAATGTTTTAAAATATATAAACGAATGCCCAGGAGTCCATGATGAACAAAATATGAAAATTTTAAATAAATGCGGGACCAGTATTACTGATTTTTCCTTTTGCCTCAGCTTCCAGTATGGCTCTACACAGCACTCCTTGTTAGAATCCTTGTTCCCTTAGAGGGGTCCCTCCAAATTGCACCCTGGTCTGCTAGCCTGCAGGATCGCAGGTATTCAGGAAAATCCCTCTTTCCTGCAGGTGGGTCATATGGGCATGGGTCAGTTTATACTCTGCCCCATTATCAGAGGAAGGTGTTCTTTTGTATGTTTGAGGGAGGGCATGGTGGGCAGGGAGACAGTTTCAGTGGGCACAGACCCCCAAGTGGGGCCTCTTGCCTTTGGTCACTGGCTCTGCACTAGGAATCTGAGGCCAGCACCGACAGCTAGAGAGAAGAAAAGTGGCCAGGTGAAGCCAGACTGCCTGGGAGCCAATCTCTAGGAGTCCAGTGTTGTGAGCCACTTAGTAACATCCAAGGTGGGAAGTCCTAGCACTGAGATGTAGGGAATCAGGTCCCTAGAAGTGGAGGGTCCACACCCAGGTGTGTGCCCACCAGAGGAGACACCAAGAGAGCCCTTCTTGGGTTGAAACCAGCTGTTCACGTAAGTCTTCTATAAAAAGAAATCAGTGCCCCTCCCTTGCCCCCATAAATGTCCACTCAGCAAAACAGCAAATCCTGCTCCCATGTGCTATCCCTGTCATTCCTCTGAGGCTGAAGGAGACTGTCCCCACCCCATGCGGGAACCCTAATCCTAAATACCTTGTCATCCCACTACTAGTTCAATTTCTTCATGCTCTGAGAATGTCACAGGCAATACGTGTCACTTATATCCCCCCTTCCACTCCACCCTCACCTCTGTCAATAAAAAGATCATAGCAACACTTTCAAGGGGAAGTGGGGAACTAGGGAAATTATCTGAGTAACTCACCCTTCAATTTTTAAAAACGTAATTGGCAGAGTTCTTCATGCAGGATTTAATGAGTAGGACTGAATATTTGAGATTTCCCCTTCATTCTTACTGCCCTTTGGAAGTGTAGACACAGTCTAGAATAAGGACACAAAGCTCTTTCTGAAATGCTTGTTCTCACTGCCCCCCCCCCCCCACCCTCATGAAACACCTTCCTTATACCCATTCTCATTGGGTCTGCTCTCTCTCAGGGACCCTTGTCTACACAGGATGGGGAGAGAAGAGGTCACCATCAAATGCAGGGGGCGAATAAAGTACGCAGAAAGAATATGGGAGAGAGGGGGTTCCAATGGCCTGGTCTGGCTGTCTTCATGACGACAATTTTTCGGGAAAATTGTTGGACTTGTCACTTTTCTCTGCCTATGTAGGAACAGGCCAAGTTTTTTTTTTTTTTAATCTGCAAAACAAAACAACTTCACTTTAGCAGAGCAGATCCTTTATGTTAAAAAGGATTTTTTTTTTTTGCACAAGATAATTTTTAAAAGTCTCACAGTTCTTAAATGTGTCTTACTCTTACAGATGTAACTATGATTTGAGAAACTGATGATTCTGGAATAGGAGTAAAACAGAGAGGGTCAGTAATGATACCGTGAGGCTTTTTTTTTAATCCTCGGAACATTTTTTCCAGTCTTATTTTATTAAACCCATTTTACAAGATAAGGAATCTGAGGTTCAGAGTAGGTAAAGGAACTTAAGTGGCAGAGCCAGATTTCAAACCCAGATTTTTGGACTCAACATAATGACACAGTGAGTTCTAAAATGGAAACAGACCGCTTGGTACAATTTAGCTTTAAAGTACCTCCTTTTTCCTGGAGAGCAAATGGGATAAACGTGGGTTTGGGTTCCTGAATTAACCAGATAATTGTCCCTGATTTTTTTAAACTTCACTTTCTGGAAATGCTCACAATTATCTACCCGATTTTGGGTCTCCTAAACCACAACTATAAATTTCCAATGAGGCTTAATCAACAAACCCTAAAAAATCAGTTTAAAAAAAGCAGATAGCTGGTCTAAATTGGTTATTTTTCTCTACAGAATGCCAAGAGTTGATGTGGCCAAGTTTTTCATGGATCAGACCTAACGGCTGGTTGTTTTGGCCAACTGGGGAAATACCTTCAGTCTTGCCTTCTGAAAGAAGCCCCCTTTCATTGTCTGCTGTCTTGTCTGGAAAGGAAGTGGGATCTGCAGATGTGGAAACATCTGGAAGCTTAGGCCTCGAGTTGTGTCTATGCTGCCTAAAGTAAGTAGAGGACTTGGTGATTAATTTTACAATCAACCTTTCCCTAATCTCCCTTCAGAGCGTGTGGGCGTGCACACACACACACACACACACACACACACACACACACACACACCACTTCATACCTGGGAACCTAATAGACACTTTTGAGGAGCAGATAAAAATCAGATCAATGCTCAGCCACAGCTCTCTCTTGGGGTCCTGTGTACATGTTCCTACTGCCCACTGGCTCTTGACCCACCCACTCCCCAAACAGGGCTCTGGTCCTCCGAAGAGGACCTTGTTCAGCTAGAAATCCTAGCCACTCTTCTCAAGCAAATTCCAAAGACTTGTCAGTAGAGACTTCCAGTATGGCCCAAAGAGCCCATTATCTCCTTCTCTCTCTTACTGTCTCCTCCTATCCTATCTGTCTCTGTCTCTCCCTGTCTCCCCCACCCCGCCCCCCTCCTCTCTGCTTCTCTCTTGGAATTTCTGCTGATTCTCTCTTGGAATTTCTGCCTCTCTCTGTCAAAATTAAAAACTGTCTATACTCACTATAGGAAGAAAAAAAAAAGAGCAAAGAAGCAAGGGTCTAGATAATTGGGTGAAGGAAGAAGCCACAACTCAGCTGGGCCCTAATTATCTGGATCTTTCTGAACAATTGCCTTCATCTCCCACACCAGCCCAGACTGCCATAGATGAGGTCTCTCAGAGCCAGAGGCACTGAAAAGAGACAGTAGTGTTTATGCCTAGATGCTGCTGAACAAACCACAATTGCATAGACAGAGTTATCTGGAAATCTCACTACTTTAAAGGAGCTCTGTGTGGGTAGAAAGATGGAGGGTGTCTGAGCATAATTTCTTATTCATCTGCCTTTTGCCTGGACCTCTGCACTCACTGAGATACACCAGCCCGATTCTATTTCCACACCGGGAGTGTGTGAGCACATAGCTGTTGAGATACACTGGGTTTTTATATCCACTTCCATGCCATAATTTGCAAGTGTATTAAATCTCAGTTGGGCTATATATTTTTTTATGTCAAAGATATTTTTCTCTAGGAGGCTGTGATAAAAAAGTGCTTACTTTTAGTTTTTTTTTTTCCTGGGAATCTTTAAGATGTTTATTTTGCTCAAAGATATTTCTTTGAGCTTCTCTCCAATCTCTCACTCCCACCTTGCTCCACATGCATACACAGCAATGCCAGAGCAGCTCCCTCTCATCCCCTCTTCACACTAAACCCACCGTCCACTGCTCTAGACTTGTGCCTCTGCCCACAGTGGGCTGGGTGGGCATCTGCCCCTCTGCCCTTCAGCCCCTTAGCATGGCCTGTTGGCTACCAGCTACTGATGCTCCAGGAATTCCTGCTAAACCCCCATCTCCTAAGCAGCTTCCCATCTGGGTGGGATGGGAAATTAAAGGGCCATATCTCCACAACACACTATTGTACACCTACATGTGAGTTGCCTATCTTCTAGAAAAGTGTTATTATGTGTTTCGTATTAGGTGGTTAATAACAGAAATCATATTATATAAAAATATAGTCAATGCAGAGTAGGTAACGCATGACACCATGTACTAAAATTCTATCAACCTAAATCTTCTGGCAGCCAGAAATTGGGTGTCTAGTGTGGGTCCCACCTTGGTCAGTTGTGTTATACTAAGTCATCTTATAATATTTACAAGAATGTTATTTGCTACACTTTTTAATATCATTCAGTAATTTTTTTTAACCATCTGTCCTTGCCCCAATCCTGGATGCAGAGGAATTTCAGGCCCACCCTTAGGAGGTCTTCAGGTCTACACTTCCCAATGAAAATGTCCCTGGGTCCACATGTAGAGTTGGGGAGGGGGGGGGCTCTGGGCAGTGTGGGGAGCCATATATGGCTGGTCGGGGCCCCCAGGACCCCTGTAGGCATCAGAACGGAGCCAGTCAGCCCTCTCCCACTGAGCTCTGCTCATATATAGCAAGAGCAGACTCAAGCTCTGGATTCACTAGACCCTGAATCCTGATTTCTCAGCACAAAGCTGAATACGAAGCTCCTGATGTGGTTTTGAGAAACCTGGAACTGGTCTTTTCCCCTGTGGAGTGTGGGGGGGTGGTGGTTTGCAGGATCCCTTCCTGTTCAGAGATAGCCTCAATTGGAAAGGGAACAGAACACCAGTAAATTCCAATCCCCCACCGCATATGGAGCCAGACAATGCAGAGGGGTCCCCTGCCTGGGCCTGGACCTCAGATCCTTCCAAAGCAGGTCTCCCCCCCACCCTCATCCTCACTCCCCTCTAAGAGAAAGAGACACTCCCCTGTGTCTAAGGCATGGGGAACTCTCCTTCTCTCCCGCATTTGGGGGAGTTGGTAGTGCGAACACCCACAGGATTTGAGCTCAGTGCACCAGAGAGGCAAAGAATTTTATAATCCAGGAGAGGGATGTGAATTCCCTTTTCTCCACACCCTCTCTAGAGATTTTAGCTCTCTTGTTCCTTTAACAATCAGGAAATTCGTGGCCAAATTCTTAAAATAAATCAAGAAAAGAAAAAAGAAAACACCCTACATTTCTGTAGATCCCGGCAAATTAGACCCCTATTTAAAAACAACAAAAACTGTCCAGTGCCTGCAGTGCCTGAATGATCTTGGACATTCAGGCAAACAAAATGTTTGGGGGTTCTAATTTTTTTCCCCAATTAATCGGTGGGTTGAGCGTTTTGTCCTAGTGGTTTTGGATTCCAAGGCACCCAAGGCCCCCCCCCCCCCCCCATTCCTGGCCGGAAGCGGGCTTAGGAGGCCAAGAGCCGCGCGTGAGACTGGAGCCCGCTGGGGGAGGAGGAGACAAGCTCCCGACTGGAGCGGAGCCGGCGGCCGGGCGCTCGGGCGCCTGTGATTGCTTCACTCTCCGCCCGGCAGCTCCGGGGAACGTGTCGGAGCAGATTTCTTCCCCGGCGCATTCCTCAGCGCAGCTCGCCCGGCCGGCTCCATCGGCAGCCCAGGAGAGCCGGCGCGCCGGGGCCAGACGGCGGGGGTGGCTGGGGCGCGGAGCCCCGGGGCAGGCGGGGCTGGGACGGGTCCCTGGCGGCGGCGGCGGCGGCGCTCGGGCCCCTTCCTTACCTGGAAAGGGAGACTTCCAGAGGTGGGAGGACTGAGACTGCTCCTTGGAGCAGTACACCTGACTGTCCCAGCCGTTGGAGAGAGCCCAGTGCTGGTAGCCTTCGACGGGGATGAGCGCGTCGTGACGCGGCTCCGGGTGCCCGCTGATCCCAGGCACCACAGACACGTCCAGGTAGCCGGGCATCGCCTGGTAGGAGCTGGCGAAGCTGGGATAGAAGGCGAACTCCTTGGCCCTGGAGGACAGGTCGTCACCCGGCAGGGCGCCCGACGGCTCGGAGTACTTATCGCCCGGGTGGTAGGCGCAAGGCTTTTGCTGCAGGTTCACGTTGTGCGACAGGCGGCAGCCGTAGTAGCTGCCACCGAAAGGGTAGCCGTAGCCCAGAGTGGCGCTGGACGAGGTGGGGGGCGCCGGCGGCGGGGCGCATTGGCGCGCCGCCTCCGGGGCCGGGATGTCCGTGTAGACGGCGCCCTGAGGGGCGCCCAGGGGAGCCGGCGGGCGGCCCAGCACCGGGTGCGGAAGCAGGTCGCGGCAGTGGCTGGCCGGGCAGCTGCTGCCCAGCCCGTCCATGCTCGGGGCTTTGCCGGGGCTCGCTCCGCTGCAGCCACCCCCCGCGCCGCCCGCGCCGCCGCCGCCGCCGCCGCCGCCGCCGCCGCCGCCGCTGCCGCTCTCCGCCGCGCTGTCCTCATAGACGTACATAAGGCTCTCCGGCCAGCGAGGATGCAGGAGCAGCGAAGTCGTCATGACATGATCTGCTCGAGCTTTTTAAAAACTCCACTTGCCAGAGGCTGCGAGCTGGGGAGACACCTCGCTCCCTTTTCCCCTCCCCCATCCCTCCTCCCTTCTCTCTCTACCCCTCCCCTCCTCCTCCTGGTGCTTCCACCTCCCTCCCTACATGTCCTCTACGCATGCGGGGACATTTCATTAAGAAATCACAGGCTCCCGCCAGCCTCCCCTCGGCAACCCTCCCGCGCCCACGTGACGCCACCCGTGCACGTGATGCCTTGGCCGGGTCTCCTGGGGTTCCCACCCCTAGAGGTGGGGCGGGGCGAAAGGGAAGAGGTCTCTGCTGATTGGCTCTCAGGAGGGGCAAAGAGGAGGGAGCTGGGAGATTTAAAGGGACAGGGCAACGCCCCCTGGCCGGCCTCGGGGAGGGAGAATGAGAAGGGGGAGGCTGAATTTGGCCGACGCAAAGGGGTCTGGCAAGACCAGGACTTTTCCTGGGAGCCTCCCATTAGGCTTAGAAGGCGTGTGGGGGAGACTGATTCCTACCCCAAAAGATCGCTGACTGGATTGGGGCTTGGAGCTAAGGGTCGGGGAGACACCGTATTTTTTTTTTTCTTAATAAATAAAAAAACTGGAAAGCAGGCGGAAGCGCACCGGCAGGGCGTGGGGAGCCCTGGGTCTGGCCTTGGCTGACTCCCTGGGAGCTCCGGCTGGAAAGAACCCGACACCGAGCAGCAAGACTTTGATGCCGGGATTGTGTTTCCATTTCCGACTTTCAGCCACTTTCCCCAAAGCCCCAGTTGTCTAAGAGGGACCCTCTCTAGGCTCGTTGCCCGCAGGTCTTCCTCCAGCGGAGCAGAGAAGGCTAGGAGGATGTAATAGCCCCCAAACACAAACATCATCACACGGAGGGCGGGATGCTCTCAACGAAAAATTGAGATAGAATAAAGAAGAGAAATGGGGGCAACAGAATAGAGGGGTATTTCAACATACAATAGAAATTAAAAGACTCGGAGTGAGATTTTTCAAAGAAAAGGGGGAGGAGGAGCAGGGATTCGGTCTAGGAAAGCTGAAAAGCTCTTCATACGAACAAGAAGAGCACGCGCTCTCAGATCCGTGTACAAAAGGAAACGTGGGATGAGGGAGAGTCGGCAGCGCTGCCCCTTTGGAGGGACATTTCCCAGGCGCTACTCTGGGAGACCCCAGGAGGCCCGATCCGAGCCTGGCGGATCCGCCTCCGCCCTCGGCCGCCTGGGTTGAGCCGGCCATAGGCTGAGGGGCCAGGCAGAGCCGGGATCAACGCAGTTCCCAGCTGGATAACCCCAACTTTAACTCCCATAGCATCCCCTCCTTTTAACGTGAAGTGTTTCGATGCTTTGAAACTACCCAATCTTTTCAAAGAAAAAATTAACCAACTTACTAATTTTCTAAAAAAGCCCCCCTCTTCTCTCTTCCCAGTCTCCAGACTTGTCGGGCTTCCTGTGCTCAGTTTGGTGCCTAAGTAGAGGCACCCCTTTCCAGAGAGCATCTCCGTGGGATTGAGCCAAGTTCCCTTTCAGCACAGGGCCTCCCTGAGGAGAAGAGGTAATAAAGAGAGAGAGAAAAAAGGGGAGAGGGGCTACAGCATCTCCCTCTTTCCTGCCTCTGCCAAAGATTTTAAATGCTGGGTGCTCTTGTCCAGACCGCGGCCAGGAAATAGCCTCGGGCTAAGCCGAACCCGCTGGATCCCTTCAACTTGAGAGCAAATGGCCAGGTCTGTACTGAGATCTGGCCCACGGGCTGCCTCCCTTCTACCGGTAGGGGCAAAGTGGTGTTGGACGATGGAGAGCGCCCTGGCGTGGGTGACTTAGGATAAGAGACGCAATCTTTATCAGGGTGCTCTTCATTCGGAAGGGTCACCTCAGAGTTCCAGAAAGCAGGCTTTGGGCTGGGCTGGCAGTAGGAGGAAAAATATATCAGGAAGCTTGGAACATGAGCAGGCTAGCTTGAGTGTGTGTTGAGGGCGATGATGGTGGATGGAGGAGAGAGGAGTGGAGAGGAAGGTGGGTCTTGCTGGGAGCCGGCTCTTGGCTAGGAAACTGGCTTCTCTGCCTCCGGAGTCCCAAGGTCAAGGTAAAAGGAGGAAAGCAAACATGGCCTGGCTAGTCTAGACTGGGTCGTGTGACCTTGGCCCCCCGCGTCTGCCTGCGGCCTGCCTGGTGGGGGTAGGTGGGTGGAGAGGTCTGCCGTTTTTTCCCTCCGCAGGTGTAGGGGTGGTGCGGAGGCCCTAGCTTCCCCTCCTGTGCAGTGCGGGGTCCGGTTCCGCGTGGAGAACCCGGGGCGACGTGGACCGGGCTGAGTGGGGCAGCCGGGCGAAACAAAGGGCCTGAAATGGCCACCCCGTTCCTGGGGCTCCCTCCCGGGTCCGGGAATGGTCTAGCTCAACGCCAGATGCGTCTTCACGGGCCAGAACCCAAAGACGGGTCCCCCAGCCTTTGGGAGTAAGGGGCAGAACAGCAGAAAGACTCTGGGTGCAGGCGGCCCAGCAATAAATAAAATCAATAGTAGGTTCTTTTCCAGATTTATATAAGGGCATTAACTATTCCTATTGCAATGAGATATAGATTTAACCCAGCAATTTTACAATTCCATTTATTAGGGGCTTTATGCGGCCAAAATTTAGCGACGAGCGGAAAGAGAGGGAAAAGTTCCCTTCGTCAAGGAGACCAGCCGAAGAAGATGTAGGCCCCCCAGAGACCTGAGAGAGTGGGAGGCGAAAGTTCAGGACTCAGGGCGTTGAAAGCGCCAGAGAAGGGTCCGCATGCTCTGAACGATTTCCCACTCTTTCGCTGGGTTCCCCAAGACCTTCCGCGCCTGAAACTGCCGACTCCAAGACTGGGGCGCACCCGGAGCAGGGAGGGAGGCGACGAGGCGAGAGCCTGCGGCCGGGCGCCTCAAAGTAGAGCCTTGTTGGTTAATTAACTTTAAGCCTGGGGTCGCTTCTTCCTCCTCCCCCCGAAAAAAAAGATGTGGATCTCGCTGAGACACAAATAAAACCAAATTAAACACTCCAGGAGAATATGCGCTACTGGAAACATAGTAATTACATCGCCGAAGCGATGAGGCGATCCCGCCCTAGAAAGCCAGGCGCTGAAACCCTCGGCTTCGGCGCTCACCCCCCGCCGCTGAGCCACACCTCGCCCCGCCGGGGGCTTCGCGGGTGGGCCGATGGAGCTGGACTGCGGACCTGGTTGAGAGGAAATCAGGAGGAATGAATAGGAATGTGACCCTTCGGTCTCTAGCTGTGATGATGTTGGTGTGTGCGGGAAAGGACGGAGCATTTCATCACACCAAAGGAAAATGGAAAACGGCCCCTCTAGCCCCGTCGAGAAGCCCCGGGCTGCGCTCTCCGCTCTTTTTTCAAAGGGACATTTGTGATGGCGAGGCCACGGGAGCCGCTCTGCCCTCAGCTTCCTCTATGGACTGAGTTCCCCGCTAAGTTCAACTCTGAAATTCTTGTTTTCAAAGACTCCAATATATAAAGGAGATATTCAATGTGCCGTCTCACTGGAAGTGTTTGTGTGTGTGTGTGTTTGCACGGTATACGTGTGCACACGCCCGGCCTGTGGGTCTGTGATTGTGGGCAGGCTCCATGCACTGTTCCAGCACATGCCCTTGTGGATACGGCCCAAGTGTATTCATGAAAATACCCAGCCCTCGCCGAAATCCTCTCTATGCAAATAAAGATCTCTGCTGGTCTGTTTATTTCTCTGGATACACACTTGATTTATACGCTCATCCTGTTCTCTACTTAGACATCCCCAGGAAAATGAAGAGGCAGATGTCTGTGTCTTTCTAAAGTTGAGGGGTGAAATTCCTGGCCCGCTGTGTTAGAGACCAAGTCGGTGGGGTAAGCTAGCAGCATTTGCAGCAGGAGTTGCTGTACACACTCGAGGGCTGGGTGAAGCTTGAATTCCAGGCGAGGGAGAAGGGGATGAGAGAAATGAGGTTGGTGTGCCCCTTATTCAGTGCCCAGATTGCCTTCTTTGGAAAGCAAGCATCAGTTGATTTCCCTTCCTCCCCCTCTTTCCTCTGTTTCCTCCATATTGCCCAGGAAAAAAAAAAAAAAGAGCTTGAAGCTCTGAAGCTCCTGCCCCCCCCCGCCCCCCGCTTTTTTTTTTATGGGAGAAATTCCAGTTTAAAAAAAGGAGGGGGTGGGTTGAGGCTGCAGGAGAACAAAGAGCCTTACCACCATGGGGTCTGGATTCTCGCCCAGACTTGGGGCCTTGGTGGGCGGGCATAGAGTTTGGGGGGCCCTTTCCTGTCCAGGATACGGGCTGCAGGCAGGATGGAAGAGATTTGTGGAGGACTGAGGATGTAGGGCTTGAGCTATCTAGGAAAGAAAGGGATGTTTGGGATAGAGAGGTCACTTACAGGAAGGGTTAGGAGTTCCGGGGTGGGGGGGTGGAACTATGAAAGAGCCCCCTGGGAGTGTGACTGAGTTGGGAGAGCCTTACACACTCAGAGGAGATTAATTCCTGTTGGGTCACAAAGGGTGATACTGGTGGGGAAGGAAAGAAAAGTGGCTGATCCTGGGGCTCCCTGGCCCTGCCCAGTCCCCTCCTCGCCTCCTTTCCCTCCACCTCCCTTGGCTCTAAAAGGTTGGGGGTGGCCCAAGGAGTGTGCAGATGCAGGTGCCACTCCCAGGCTCCTGGATCCCTCTGGAACCTGCTCCAGTTTAATCTCTCCACCCCCACAGTGTGGACTCAGAGGAGAGCCACCCAGGCCTCTCCTCCCGGTCTGAGACTCACCCCCTGGACAGCAGCTACCACCCTGGCATCTTCCACCTATATTGTTCTTCCTCCTTGGGCCCCCAGCTTGAGGAAGATGGGACCAGGATGCGCTGAGGCATCGCTTTGCTCCTGATTTCAGAGTTTTCTGCTCTCAAACCCAAACTTGCCTTCCTCCAGGCCCTATTCACTTCCCTCTCCTAGACATCAGGGAAATCCACTCTCTTCTGCTGTCAGTTTAGGATTGCAGTGTTGGCTGAGGGTTTGGGAAGTCCCATCAAACTTTCCTCTATGGTTCTGCAGGGATCCACTCGAGGGTCGGGGTTTAGGCTGCCATCACCAATCTTTTCCTGGATTCTCCTCCAGCCTGCCCCCAATCACACCTGTGGTGCTCTGTGTTTGAGTGGGGAGATCAGGTAGCTGCTTCCATGGGGAAGTCTCAGGAAGCCTCCTCCAGTGGCCTCCAGTGTCCCTACCTCGGCGCTCATTCTTCCATTGCTTCCATCGCTGTCCTCTCAGCCCTGCAAGCTCCTCACAGAGACCCTTCCCAACCCTCCTCATCCTCTCCTTCCCCAGACCCATCCCCTTTCTAATCCTCATCCCTCCTACTCCCTTTTCTTTTTCAGCAGCATCTCAGCCAGTCACTTGCCCTCCCCCCACCCCCAATGACAGAAGTTCTGGAAATAAACACAGAGTCAAGAAATTAACAAAATATATCTCCCGGCTTCTTGCCTCCCCAGAGCCCCTACACTTACCCCATCCCTGCAGTGGGAGAGGGCCCTCTGTTCCCCTCCCCTCACCCCAGACACCTCCTCCTTTTAGGAAGTCCTTCAAAAACAGACAAATAAAATCTCTCCTGGTTTTAGGGCCTGTCTGAGAGGGAAGTCCAAGTTCATTTTCAAGTTAGACAAGGGAGTTGAGGGGGGTTGGGGAAGAGGTGGAGGAGTGTTTGCAGGGGGCTGGATTTGGCTTCCTTTCAGAGATCTAACAACGGGCCCTTTTGGTCAGAAAGCCAACAAACCGAATGCTTGGAAAAGGTATTTATCACTTTCAATCATTTCCTCCATCTTTTAAAGTTTAAGTTTGCGGCTCCTAGAAATGAGACAGATCAATCTCTTCTCTTCTCTTCCTTTCCCTTCCTTTCCCTTCCCTTGCCTTGCCGTCCCTTGCCTTCCCTTCCTTCCTTTCTCTCTCCCTCTCCCTCTCCCTCTCCCTCTCCCTTTCCCTCTCCCTCTCCCTCTCCCTCTCCCTCTCTCTCTCTCTCTTTCTGTGTGTCTCTTTAGGATTTCCAGTTACTTTAAAAGAAGATAATGGAAAATAACATTTTTCTCAGAAGGGGTTGTAGACCTCAATACTGCATTCTTCTGGATCAAAATGGACTGTTTATCTTATATATCCTTTAAAATAAGAATGACTAAATATAAAAGACATAGCTGAAGCACTGGACATTTCATCTCTAACTAGGTGAAATACTGCCCTCAATTCCACCATGATGCTGAGACCTGGAGTTTAGTGGGTCCTAAGAGGCAGATGGTAGAGGACGTAAGTATATTTCATTATGAGGAAGGAGAAAAATTATACCCTAAATGGATTACAGCCTAGTTCTCCCCATGACCAGATACCCTCAGAAGTCACAGCAGAAGATACATTCTAATCATTCTACTTTGAAAATAATTGAACTTGACACCAGAAATTAAGGGACCTTCAAAAGATGTCTTACCAAAAGAAAGAAAATTTAATTTTCCTATCTCCAAAAAGAGGGAAATGAAAACCTAAGACTCAACTAAAGGGCGAGAACCCCTCTTTGCTAAAATAGCCAATCTTGCTTGGGATCTATGGAGCAAAAATGCAGGAAGGAGCTTGAATGTCTGGGTACTTGGGACGAGATTCCTGCTGGTGGCAACTAATTCCACCTTCCTGAAAAGATATAATTTGGTGAAATATTAGTTCCTGGAGGGAAACTATCCCTATGATATCCTTACGGAGGGGGCTGCTAGATTTTCTCTCCCTCACTGTCTCTTCTCTCTCACCCATATTTATCCTTCTCTAGGGAGTATTTAGAAGAATTTTTTCTCTTGGTTGTGGTGTTGTTTTATACATACGTGAAGCAAAGTTGATGAAATCTAAAGAACTAGAAAGGAAGATGGGGACATCCATGTTCTCTCCTCGCAAAGATTGCTGCACTCACTTGCATAGTCAGAGAAAATTGAACTCAGATAAGAAGAAATCTCTTTCAAGGTATAGAGACCACCTCAGACTTCGTGCACTTGATGGCCTTCAGCATTTCTGGGGAGCATGACTGTTGAGTCCTGGTTTTTGAACACTGCTGGATAGTACACAGGCTGGGGGAACATGTATTGTGATGGGTGTGCATCGTGCTAGCGTGGAGACATTTACAGGTTGGTCATGACAGGGGTGCTGGTGAGGGCAGGCTGATGATGGTGAAAGAAAAGGAAATACAGTGAGGATTTGAGCTTGGAGAAGACCCCTCCAGCTCTCTGCAGTGGGGGCCTTCTCTCCTTCAGCTGAGCCACTATAAGCAAAATGGGAAAAAAGACCATCCTCACGTTTCTGCAGAGATGCTATTCCTAATGCATTAAGGAAATCTTATGCAATTCCTCTCTTACTCTGAGGCCTTAGGAAAACCTTTTTCTGCTAGAATCTGCATTTGTGATTTGAAGCACTTTAACTCTCTTTTCAGTACTTGGTTTATTAATGAATATCTCTCCGAAGAAGTAATGCAGATTTATTTCTCTCATCTATTATAGACCTATCATCTCTAGACAAATAAGTATATAATATATGCTTTGTTCGGTGTTAAGGGAACTTTAGATAAATATTAACGTAAGATACGTGCCCTCAGATACCCATCTCCATCTAATTAGGTAATCTTTGTAAAAAATTTAAAAATATTTCCCTTGAATATGAAACATAGTCATGTTTAAATTAAAAACAAATGAAAGCCTTTATTGTCTTTATGCCATTGCTGAGATGTGTGTGTGCGGTTTGGTGGACCTATGGTTTTGTGGACAAAGATATATGTTGACACAGACACACAGGTTTGTTAATCCACCTCCACCAGTGTTTTCTCTGATGCAGAGAGCTATTAAGCAGGCATGGTATTCAGGCATATGTAAGGCAGAAATTCTTTTTTATTACCGATTTTGTTAAAAATCTTATATTTAAGAGAGAATAAAGACACCACGTCTGAGGATATCCAGGACCGACTTTGCAGTATATAATTCTCAGACCCATTTCCCCTCAGCCATAATTAGCGGAATTACGCGCCTGCCAGAAACCAAATTGCCGTATGGCCAAATCTGGCAGCATCCTGGCGTTGGCACTGTTCTTTCAGCGCAATTCTTTTCTCTGCACAGATTTTTAGGAGATTCGGGTCACTTCCGGAGCCTGGATGGCGAGTCCCCTCAGCCAGAGCAGTCAGCGGCCGCCTGGCTCCGCCGGGAACACGGCGCCAGCATCTAATTCCTTTCTCTTTTCTTTCTGGATTGATCCCAGGACTTCGAGAGTTCTTTCGTTAATTATAACAGGCTGATTTTTAGGGGGGGGGTTTTGGTGGGTTTTTTTTTTTTTTTTGGTTTTGGTTTGTTTATTTGTTTGTTTGTTTTTCCATGTAGTAATTATTTAGTATTGGATTTCACTAACTTCGACTAAACTGAAGCTTGGCGAAAGCCGCTTGCACGCAGGACAATCAATGGCCGACACGGGAGGACAGCGGGACGAGGGCCCGCGCTGGGAAGCGCCTGCTCCGCTCCTGCGGCGCCCGAGCAGAACCGGCGAGCCAGGCACAATCACACCCGTAATCCTCACTGATGCACTTGCGTGCGCTCTATGGGCACTGATAGCTGAGCACACAGGTGGGTACTTTTCTTTGTGGGGCAGAGCAGACTCTAATGAGATCCCGGAGAGCTCTGGGCATGTGGGAGGCGCGAGCCGGCGCGGGTGCCCGGGCATTCAAGGACATG